GGCCTTCCAGCTTCTGTAGCAGGCCCCTTGCCTTGCAGGCACTGGCATCTGCCTGAGAAGTTGGGTGTCATCTGTAGCCTTACAAATGAGCCACACTTTCTGCTGATTTGTGTTTTCACTTCTCAAGGGTTTTATTTTCATCTCTGTAATCTTCAGTGATCTGTAGTTAATGTTTTTCTTTAAAAGAGAAATCTCTCCCACACCAGGAAGCCCTGAAATTTAGAGTGTCTAATTTCTCTGATGCCAAGCACCCCAATTTCTTTGTTTTCAGGTAGCAGGGATCCTCTCAGTGGGACATAGCCATATGTAGCTAACATTTGCCTTCTGCCTTTCCCTGTACACACTTGTGGACTTTATTACTCTTAATCTCTTCTTATGAGCAAAGAGCAGAGCAGTTCACTTATGGATAGTTCTTTATTTACAGTACTCATGCGATGCACCGACTTCTCACAGGATATGGGATTTGCTAGCCAGGAGGAGCATTTTCCTATTTATTTTTACAATAGCAGGATTTGGTTGCAAGACAGCTAGTAATTCTGAAGAGCCCAGGCTTAGGTGGGGATTCAAAGGTAACTAACTGGCCTTGCCCTGCAGGCTAGGTGACTCGCTGAACATGGTGGGCCGGGAACAAGGCCTGGGCACTGCCTGATGGTACTGACAGTGAGGTCTGTGGCACAACCAAGGCGCCTTCCCGTTGGCTTGGACCATTGTCAGCACTGCCATGTGGCCATGGTTTAGGGAATAGTTGGGTTTGTTTCCTTATTGGGTTTCCCAGCCTTCTGGCCCAGCCATGGCTTCAGGCCTCCCCTGGTGTTTTCCTCCCGTGTTGGCAGAGGCCGGTAAAGTAGATGTCAGGGTTCAGGGACGCTGTCCAAAGAATGGCACCTTGGCTTTTGAGAAAACAACAGAAGCGGGAAAGTTGCCCGTACCTGCTTCTCTGCACTTCTGCCCTGAGGCACATCACAAAACCTGGGATGCTGTGTAACCTCGGAAACACAGGGCTTGCTGAGCCATTACAGGTGCTGACTGGGAAAGGACCCCAGGTCATGGGACAAGTCCTTGCAATTTCCAGCAGTGGAACTGGGGAGCAGTTGGAAAAATGTCCAATGGACCTAGAGCTCAGGGTGTTTGCATCCATTCTGGAGGAGAAAAGTGTGACTTGTGCACATCGAACTCACGTTGCCTGTGGATAACAGGGGTGGGGTTACATGAAGCAGAAAATCTCTGCAATATCAGTGAGGTCCATAAATGGGGTTTCTTCTGGAGTGCCAGGGTTAGCAATCTGGGAAGTTTATATATAACAGGCCGTGATGGTCAGCTCTGAGGGATCGGTGGTTTCACCATGTGTTTAAGAATGGCCCGTGGCTTGTTACTGCCCACCTCCACCGTTTTTCCTCCTTTCTGTCCTCTGGTTCAGTGAGGGTGAACCTTTTAGAAACCGAGCAACAAACTGCACCCCAAGCTCACTTATTTATCGCAAAGAGCAATGCAATTAAGCCTAAATACTAGGGTTTTAGTTTAGAAAAAACAACTCCTACAGTACCATCTTTTGTCTTAAAAGAAGAAACCACAATAACACGTGTGCCACAGGTTCACCGCCACTACTGATTCTTTGTAATTCGATTGAGAACATGTCAGAGTTTTATTTTATGACATGTGAAATTTGCATTGAATAAATCCATGTGCTCTCCTGCCGTGAGTCCCTTATCACAGGAGGCTCAGCGGGAACTGTGAGGAAGGGTGTTAGATCCCGTGTGGGCAGTGCTGGCTTGCAGAGCCTGCTCCCTAACTTCAGCAAATCTCTCTGGAGGCCTTGGCGCAGCACCAAGGCTGGAGGGCGATGGGGAGCAACCCCTGCGCAGATCCCCGGCCCTTCATTCTGCTCCCTCGGCTCAGGCTACTGCTGCAGCTGGGCCCACGCTACGGGAGCTCTCTCATGGCTGGAGTTTCTGTCCGCCTCTCCCAGAACAGAAAGAGTTCCCACAGGCAGCCCTGGGCCTGCAGAATTCCTTGGGTGAGCAGCTCAGAAGCAGCCCTATTTGGGAGCCTTGCAGGCCATTTATGCCGTTTATTGTTTTGCATCCTATCTGCATCTCTGATTTACTTTTGCTTGGGTTATTTCCAAATCACATTTTCATGCTCTGAATTACAACTGGGAGGGAGATGGAATCTTCAGCCTCAGGTGTCCCGGAAAACCAGTACCTTATCACCTCTGCTCTGAATGACATTCTGCTTATGGATGCTCGAGAGTTACTTGCCATCAGATTCTCTTAGCCTCAGAAGCCCATCTTTTCTGCTTCTCTTCCCTAGTCTCACTCATCGCCACAGTGTGCCGTATCCACTGGCTTCCTAGGGAAATAAAGAACCAGTAGGAGCTGATTGAGGTTTTTCAAATGCATAGAAACAGCAGGACATGTACACAACTATTGGATGTGCGCCTCCCTGACAGTGGCTTGTATCAAACTGGGGTGGTGTGTGTGTTCCTTCCCTCCTGATTCGTGTCCTCTGATCACCCCCACCCCAGAACTGATTTCCCATCTGCATATTGAGGGTGAAAGCCCGAGTTAGTTGGAGGTTTTAGCAAATGGCTTACCGCCACACTGGCGTCGATGAAAACACAAATCCTCTTGCTGGGTAGGTAGGATGGGTGTCTGATGCAGTGTCCCTTGTTGGGGGAGAAGCAACAGCTGACCGGTTGGGCCCTCAGTGGAAAGGGCTTCCTTTCCTGCACTCAGGCAGTGTTCTTGGTGCCGTGAGCTTCTGGCTGTGGGAAGAGAGCGCACCCTGCCTCACCGTCCCCCTGTACAGTGGGCAGGGGAAGACTGCAGGCTCAGAGGCCACCTCTGGCTTGACTGCACCTGAGTTAGGTTGAAAACTCCAGTCCTGCCCAGAGGGTGGGGCAGAGATGCCCACAGAAGAGGAGTCGCCTGAGAGGCTCCGAGGACTGTGCCTTTCAAGGGAGATCTTGGTGGCTGAGGATCCTCAGGTTCTGTTTTCTGGGATCAGTGGACACTATTCTGCGGTTATGAATTTCCAGCTAATTTTAAGACAGCCTGAAAACAGTGGTCGCGAGGGAGTTAAGTTGTAACTTAAAATTGGTGTCACACATGGATCACTTACTGGTGTCAAGAAATCAAATGGGGTGATGTAAAACAAGAGGGCGGATTTTTGCCTGGAGCTATGCTGACCAGTGCTACAGCCAGCAGCCACCGCCCACCAAGAGACCTGAAACACTGTCAGGGTGGCATGCGTGTGCACTGGATTGTAAAGAATTAGTGTAGAAAAGCAGCATCAAAAAACCCTTTAATAATGACTGTCAGTTTCCTACTGGAATAACATTTGGGGTATTTTTAAAAAATAAAATATAATACAGTTAATTTTGCCTATTTTCTCTTACTTTGTTGCTATTAGAAACTTTAGAATTATAAAAGTAGCTTATACTGTATTTCCACTGGATGGTGCTGGGCAGGATTCATCCAGGCCTTCCTGTCTGCAGAGGAGAATTTTCCTGCTAGGTGAAGGAAGATGGTACAGATCCCTGTTCTTAGTTCCAATCCCCAGGCTGAATATTTCCTGTGTCGGAAGTTGTAAGGAGGCAGCGAGCGAATTTCTCCCACAAGAGGGAGCTGTATTCCAGCATCAGGAAGCCTGGGGACAGCCAGTCAGCTTCACTGGTTATGAACTACTCTTTTACAAAAGAAGGAGAACAAGAGCAGGTTGTTGCTTTGCTTCCCTTCTCCATAGTCCAGCATCTCTGGAGGTCGCACTCTGTGTGACTCTGAGGCCAAAACGAGGAGGAGGCAGAGGTTTTCTAGCTCCCCCACCCCCGCCCTGGGAATCCAGGTGTGTGGTAACTTGTCATTGGTTTGCAGACTGTTTCTGGGGACTGTGGACAAGGCCACACGCGTGCGTGCGCGCGCGCGCACACACACACACACACACACACACACACACACACACACACACAGAGCAGCCTCTGCCTGCTGCAGTCACACCCTTCCCTGCTGCCCGAGCCACAGGATGCAGTGGATGGGCTCCTGGCTTGTGTCATGTGGCTCTTCCCACCTTCTTGTTCCCGGGAGCAGTACGCGAGCCAGGGTGCTTTTCCCAAATAGTGTGCCTCAGTTTCCCCCCGAGCCTCCTCTGAAACCAGCGTTGTCTCATGCTGGCATTTCACGGCAGCACTCGCTCTGCTTGCTTCCTGAGTTGTTCTTTTCCTGCCTCCTGTGGTTTTTGTCCTCTGCTGGCCTTTCCCTTCGTCTGTCTCTGCACTTTGTCCCTTTTAAGGGATCTCAGCCGTTCTGGTGGCTTTGTCACTACCCTTGTGCTGTGTCTTTACCTCCGGTTTAAAATGTTCTTCTGCACTTTGCCCACGGCCTACTGCTCAGACCGGAACTTAAATGCCTGTCTCGTTCCTTCCTTCCCATGCCAAGGGCCTGCTTTACAAGTTGTGCCCTGCCCCTGGCCTGTGAACAGCCCTGCCAGCCTATGGCTTCCCTTCTGCTGTCTCACAGTGGGCCTGGCTGGGTACACCCTCGAGTGATGTTTGAAGGTGTTGTTGTAGTTCTGAACCAGTTAGGCCGTTTACTTGTCAGCACCCATATCACCCTGATCTGATCCCTTTTTAGGTCTGCTTTCTTCTGTGCGGGGCAGTCACAGTTACGATGCCCTGCAGCATGGTCTGTGTGAAAGTGTTTAATTTGTCTGCTCGTGCCTCTCAGTGGTTCCCTGGGTGGTCCCTTTCCTGCTGTGATCCTTTCTCTTTTGGTGACTCTTATTACACACTGAACCGGATATTTTCTCAGCCCCGTTGTTTATTTCCAGGAACACAGGGCCCAGAGAGCTTAGAAGGAGGTCAGAGAGCATGGCAGGTTTCCTGCCTGCAATCCAGGTCACGGGCTGCTTTTCCAGGATGTATTCACATCTCTGTCAGTGTTTCTGCTGTGTAACCGCCGATCTTGTTCCGATTTGTGACTAATGGACACTGTTTTTCTTGTTAGAGCACGAAGAGGAGCTGGACCAAGAATTTGAGCTGGAGACGAACGCTTTATTTGGAGGACTGAAGAAGGTACAAGGTGGATAAATGATGAAACGTCACAGTTTCCAAAACAGACCTCAGGTCCAGGCTGCAGCTCAGTGGTAGAGCACTTGCCTAACACTCTGCAAAGCCCCGGATTCAATACCCAGCGTTGCCAACAACAGAAACAAACCCCCTGCCGATCCCAGTTGTTTGTCTCTGCTGTGTTTGGCTTTGACCCTGTAGTGTGCTGTGCAGAACCAGAGAGGAGTTGTGCATCTTTGCTGTGGCGAAGGTGTGAGTGTGCTGTATTGGGCGAGGTGTTCTCAGGCTGTCTTGTCCCCTGTGTCTTCTTAGGGCACCGGAAATTGGATTGCACCACCTTATCAGTGAGCACGGTTTTCATGTTGGTAGATTTCAGGAATTCCCTCGTTGACCTGGCCGTGTCTGTTAGGGTCCAGCATGGCTCCAGCACACCTGCTCCTTGCCAGCTCTTGGCTGTGGTAGAACGCTCGCTCTGTGCTCTGCTGTCCCCATGCTGCAGTGCACACTGGGAATTCCCGCCCCTTGCCCTGCCATGTGGTGGCGGTGGCAGGCGAAGCTGCCTGCCAGTGCAGCTCACCTTGCCTCCATAGGAGGCAGGCCGACTGTTGTTCAGTTTTAGACCTTGTGCCTTTCTGCTGGACCAAGCAGCGCTTCTGTGCCAGCGTACGTCGTAGGTAGGAGCCAGACCCTGTTCTTCCCAGTAGATAGAGGCGAGACCACTTTTTTCCCACTAGAAGCCCTTTCCCTGGGATTCTTTTCATTCTTTTCCTTTTTGTTTTCCAGGACCCCATTTCAGTCACCTCTTATCGTGGGAGGTCCAAGACCCAGCTCATGGGTTGGGGTTCAGGTCAAAGCCAGTTATGAAGTTATTTCAATATGTTTCTAAAATGGTATCAAAGCATTGATTCTTACTACTTTTACTGCAAGTAGGTACTGTGTCAGATATGTCACAGTTCATTTAGCTTTTGTGGGCTGGCTTGGGACATAAAATGATGCTTAAGGTTCTGAACTTTCTGTCTTACCAGTGAAATTTGGAAGATAATTATTTTCCAAATTGGGCACTGCACGTACTGGTACTTTTCAACCTTGACAGCCGGAGGTTTTGCTTACAGCTTTGCCTGCAATGAACTTCAGCTTCCATGGGAGGTAGCCTGTCCCCTTTGGCAGCTCTGGCTTTACACAGAGGACTCTGTTAGCTGCAAGCCCTATACGTGGGACTAAGAGGATTGCCCTGCCTCGCTTGGGGGCCTTTTCTGACTTTGTTGTTGTTGTTGTTGCTCTGCCTGCGGGATATTTTATTTCTGTGAAAAGTTAGACATGAATTGAATTTGTACTCATGGGATCCATTTCTAGATGTTTCTTATTTTCATAAGCCCTTTTTAGGATCATTAGAAGGACTATACAGTGGGTAGACCGTGCCCACTTCAGAGTTGAGAAAACATGGGAATTCAAAATGTACAGATGGCTCTCTGGGGGGTTGGGTTCGACTCCTTAGAAACAGCACTGTTGGGTCTCTTACAGCAACCAAAAATGATTGCCTATTTTCCTATTCAGAGCCACACAGTTTGGGCATTTCAGATTCGAAGTTGTTTGCCAGGGACAAGCATAAGCATATCTGTTTTACAGCAAGAGACTTTTAGCTGAAGAGACACCATTGTGAGGCAGTATGAGAATGAACCAGGTGCCGAGGAGGAGTTCTGGAGCTACTGTGGTCTCATTGTCACGAGCAGGCTCAGCCCACCAGGCTGTTGCTTCCTCCAGACAGTGCGGCTTTGTCTTCACGCACTGCCAACTCCGTCCCCATCAGCCCCGCCGCTCAACACCCTGCAGGGCTGCAGAGCCTGGGGACCTCTTCTGCACATTCTCCGTGACCGTCCTTGTCCCAGGGCCCAAGCAACCCCGCCTCTGCAGAGCAGTACGCAAGGCACAGAGCTCCCCGTGGAGCCCCAGGGACTCCATCCTGTGTCGTCCCGATAGATCCCATCCATCTGTCCTTCTGTCCTCTCAGCCAGCTACGTGGTGCTCGGTACCTTGCAGGGGGCCAGGTGAGTCAGGTCCTAGAACTGAGCGGAAAACGCTGAGTCCTCACGGAGAGCTATAGAAGAGGGAATTAACGAGGTGTCCTCAGGTGCTGGACGGGTCCCTTCTTGGAGGCTGTAGCAGCGGGCAAGCAAATGCCGCCCTGGTCCAATTTCTAATCAACAGAAGATGCTGCCTGACAATGGAGAGGAGTCCTGGAGTGGGGGAGCCCCCGTTACCTGACCAGCCCTTTCTTGCGTGCTGGTTTATGGGTTGCTAAACCTTGGCACCACTGACGTGTGGGACCACTGACTGTTGTGAGGGAGCTAGTGTGTCACTGCAGGATGCCGAGCAATCCTCCGTACCTCTGCTCAGTGTCTTGACAATAGAAACATCTCCAGGCGTGCCATATGCCTCCGGGTAAGATCCGCCACTTTTGAGAAGAGCGGGCTGTAGCGGTGAAAGGCCTTGCCCACCCCCTTGGTTGTGCTGATTTTCTTGCTTTGCGCCTCTTGGTTCTCCCGTTCCTGTCTGCTTCCTTGCCTGGCCTTCCGCTGAGGTCTCAGAAGCACTGGGTGCTTGCAGCTCCCACCGCCCTCCCTCTGTCCTGGTCCGTCCACACCCGCAGCTGGGATGGATGTTTCCTATGCGCTGGCCGTGCCGCCCACTGGGCGCAGTGCTGAGCAGGCAGAAGCACTCGGTGCTGGGGTCTCCCCGTGGGGAAAGACCAACTGTGAGTAAGCAACGGATGCAGCAGCCACAGATCGAGCTAAATTATGTGAAGGTTCCTTCATTCCTTGTTCATTGCTATAAAATCTAACCAGGCAGCCACTTCAGGAGGGCTTGCTTGGCTCTCAGTCGTAGGGGTACAGTGAGACCCTGGTTCATGAATTTAGCTGGTTCTTCTGCTTGGGAAGATGGCTGTGGTCCTCTCCATGACCCCACGCAGAGTTCACAAACGGAAGCTAAATTTTCCCGACAGCTTCTGTTTGTGAACCGAACTGTTTTTGAACAGAAGCGTTGGTGAACCCAGTATGATGCTGAGGGCCTCGACTGGTGATGCCCTTCTTGTTGGCCAAGCCCCACTCCACAGGTGTCACATGGCAAGGCATGGTGAGCACGTGTGTGTCTGTGTCCTCTGTCTGATCTCACTCCCTGTGCGAAGCCACCAAGCTGCAATCGAGCTCCAGCCTGACGGCCGTACCCCTTCCTAACAATTCCCAAGGCCCTGCTTGCAAACACGGTGGTTGGATTAAGCTTTCATCCCCTTAATAATTCAAGTGGGGTCCACATTTTAGGGTCACTGGGAGGGGGAGCAGTCAAACAGTGTCTAAACCATAGCAGAAGGAAATGAACAGGTCAGCGTGATACCGCAGTAATGCTTTGGGGTGGAACACCTCAACCGTTATGACATGGTTACTTGTGCAACGTTATTCTGCCTTATCCATCCCCACGTGATGGTGAGGCCCACAAGCAGGGCTGAGATTTCATTATTTCTGTGTCCTCTCTGCCTGGAACAGCGTGCTGCATGGTCAGACGCAGCAGCCCTGGTGCGAGCTGGTGGACGGTGTTAACTACAGCAGGGGGAGGCTGCTGCAGGACCAGCACTCAGCCCCGCTCAGGAGGGAGGGGCCTGGCCCTGGGCTCCCGGACGGGCAAGCCTGGCAAGGTCCTCACAAGGAGATGCTGTCCGGTGGGGTTGCTGAGGTGGGAAAGGGAGAGCGGTGGCTCCAAGCGGAGCTCGTGAAGGGTGGAGAGAGGAGCCAGCCTGGCCTCCAGCTCGTGTTCTGATGGCGGGAGGCAGAGCCAGCGGTTTAGTCCTCCTGCTCTTCCCACCTGGGACTGAGGGCCCCGGCCCATTGGCCAGTGCTTCCGGTGGCTGTTGTGTGCTGGGGCCTGTGTGGCCCGGGGCCCTGCCTCCTCTCTCACTCCGTCACTGTCTTCTCTAGTGGTGCCCGTTCCCCTTGCCTGCTGAAGTAAAGGAGTTGTTAGACAACGTGGTCTGAGTCAAACTGATTCACGCCAGCCCTGGGCTATGCTGGGTTTAGGTTTCCGTCCCACTTTTCTTTCTGATTCAGGGCACGTGGCATAATGGAAAGAGCTCAGGTTTGGAGTTGTGTGGACTTGAGTTCAAATGTGGCTTCCCTGCCTCTTGGAAAGCCATCTTCCCTCTGTGAGTCTCAGTCCTATCATCTGGAACATGGGAACAGTAGGTGATGGCGATAGAACACACAGCGTGTACATGCTTGGTACAGACTAGCTGCTCCCACGTGGCGTGGCCGTTCCCCAACGTCTCCCTCCCTGTGTTTTCAGTGGACGATTATTGTCTTGCTGCAGCACTGAGAGTTGCCACGGCGGAACATTTAGGGGAATTGCTGCAACAGGGACCTTGCGCTTTTGCTTTCCCCCTGTGGTTCTTATCCTGATATCTTACAGCTCCTCTCTTCTCCTGAGAACGTCTTCTGTGGCAGGCTTCTGAAATGTGGGCAGATCCGTTTGTAAGCTGTTCTCTCAGCAGTAAAACCAGAGAGGACTTTACAGTGCCTGCGAGAAGGCTAAGGAAGAAATCACAAGGAGAGCAGAGGGAAGTCCGTGAGTAACGTCTGCATAGAGAGACGAGAGGCACTTTTCCAAACAAAGACATGACATCTAGCTACGCAACCTTTGCCTACTATAAAGATTTTAAGATTTAGCATATCTACAAATGCCTCTTTATTTCAAACTTTGAAAAAATGGCATCGCTGTGTCTTGATTCAGTCAACAAATGCCAAGTGCCGGCTGGGTGGAGGCCGCGGTGCCATGTGCAGGTGTGGGGCGGCTGACGGTCCGGGCGCCGAACACCACAGCTGGTGAGGGAGAAACAGGATGGCGAAACCCGACCCAGGACCTCTCGGTGTGGGCGGGACATGGGGCCCGGCAGGTGACAGGAAGTTGAGTGGGAGGAGGACGGTGACCCAGACGGGCGGGAGCTGCCACATGTGCAGCCCGGATGGCAGCGGTCGGTCGTCCAAGGGTTTCGGCTGTTGCTTTGCTGCGGGCTTTCCGCAGGTTCCCTCCTCTTTGACCTTGGCTTTGCAGCGGTCGGTCGTCCAAGGGTTTCGGCTGTTGCTTTGCTGCGGGCTTTCCGCAGGTTCCCTCCTCTTTGACCTTGGCTTTGCAGACCTAGCTTTTATGAACGGCAGAAAGCTGCAGCCCCCTTTCCGTCCCACCTAGCAGTCGCTACCTGATCCCTTTCCTTGCCTGCCCTCTCACAGATCTTCAGTGCACCCAGAGGGAGTCACCGGGGCCGGGCACTGCAGGTGCAGGGCAAGCAGTGCGTGCAGGGAGGGGAGGTCAGCGCACTCGTCCTCCCTCGCGCCTGTGGCCTCCGGCCCTCTCTTTGGACTCTGCAGCCCCCTGTCTGTGCCCAGAGGGGTGTGCACAGGACACAGCAGTCTGCCCACACCGAGCAGCCCCTCTGTGAAGGCGCAAAACTGTGTTAAAGCCCGGTTTTCTGCTAACAAGGACAGGTGGAGAACCCAGCCATGCATCTGGGGGTTGAGGGAAAGCAGGGAGAGCAGAAACCCTGGAGTGAGCCCTGAGGGGTGCGAACAGGCTGCAGAGCCCTGGACGGAGCCTGCCTGACTCCACCTCGCAAGGCTGCAGGCAGCCTGCTGTGCGCCAGGAAGCCCAGTGAGGCTCCCAGGAGTGCCGCAGGGCCGCAGTGCGTCTTGTCTGGGCCTGACTGTGATGAACTCTGTGGGGTGAGGGAGGCGTGGCACTCTGCTTGAGTTCACACTCCGTCCGAGAGAGGGCGCTCGGGACATGGCGTGGGGCGGTTTGAGCAGACACGGGGTGCGTACAGCAGGACCCTCGCCCGGCGCCTGCGTCCCTCCTCGACCCTGGCCCTGGCATGACATGAATAGAGTTCTGTGTGCGACGTTGCTCCTGAGAGAGGGTCTTGCCTTGGGACGAGCGGGAATCCCCTCTGGAGAGGGTGGCTCTTCATTGAGCTTCGAGCACAAGTATTACGCTTTGAGTCGATCCAAGTGTGCCGAGAACGAAGTTCTTTGTCTCCTCTTGGCCGCGGGAGTGAGTGAGTTAGGCCTCCTGTCGCCGCACTGTGCTGCCCGTGGTGTTTTAGGGTGAGCCTGGCGTTGTCCTGGCGCGAGCACTGACATCTGTGAGCAGGCAGGTGCCAAACCCACCGAGCCCGACCAGGAGCCCCTGGCGCCTCCTTGAGCTCCCAGCCCGCGGCCCAGGGTGGCGCAGTCCGAGAAAGGCCTGGTGCTGGTTCCGGAGAGGTGGAGGCCTCACGCGGGGGGCCCGGGCACACCTCCAGCCCGCCGTGTTGGGCCCCGATCTTTCACTAGTAAAACATTTTCCCGACCTGGGAGCTGTTGGAGTCGTGGCCGTGCGTGGGGCCGGCTGATCACCGTCTCCAGTGTGGTCTTGTTCGCGCCCTTCCGGGGCTCACCGCCGCCCGGGACGAAGCCGATCGACGCGCAGCCTGTGCACGCGCCCACCAGGTAGCGAGCAGGCCGGAACCTCTCCCAGCGGGCCAGGTCGAGCAGAGGCTGGGAGCCGAGACGTGGGCAGTGGGAGGAGGGCGGCGTGTCTCCTCCGCTCCTTCCCGAGAAGCGGTGCCTGTCAGCACTCTTGGAGAGGTTATTACCGCTCAGAGCGCGGCATGACAGCTGATGGGTCTGAGGGGAAGGCGTCGGAGTTGGAGCAGCAGCCAGTTCGTGTGGGAGCGGGGGCGCGGGGGCTGGGAAGGCTGGCGCCTGGGGGGTGACAGTCGCTGCAGCAGAGTTTGAGGCGGAGAGAGTTGCTCCATCATGACCTCGCTGGCTCGCTGGTAGGCTTTGTGAAAGCAAGTATCAGGGCAAATTGCGGTTTTTTACGTGTACATTTTCAGAACTCTGCCTTGTTAGTTAGCATCAGTGATATTAAGGAACAGGGCCAGCCAAGGCATTTTAGAGACAACATTTTTATCATACAGGGAGAAGTCTATTAGAAACCAGTGTTACAGAGCCTGCAATCTACTCGGGAGGGAGGATTAGGCAGGAGGGTCACTGCAAGTTAGAGGCCAGCCTGGGCTATGCAGTGAGACCCTGTCTCAAGAAAGTCAATCAATCAATAAAATTAAAAACAAAACAATAACAAAAGAAAGCAATGCTATATTTTCAAGGGAAATTCCTTCCAAATGAGTGGGATGGGAACCAGGGGGTCTGGGAGTGCTCTACTCAACTCAGGACCTGGTTTAAGGTCTTAAATTTCTGGATTCCCTGGATTCCAGTTGGCTCTGGTAGCACCTGCCTATGCCTGTCCCCCCAGCACCCTGACTGGGGTGGCAGGGGTGGGGAAATTTTAAACTGAAACCCAGCCTAGGAAATTTAGCAAGATCTTGTCTCAAAATTTAAGATGAGGGGATATAATATAACTTAACCCTTAATACCAGAGAGAAAAAACACGAATAAAGTGAAGTTTCTTAAACGCCTGAGTTTGGTCTTTAGTACCAAAAACTAAGTCAAACTTTAAAATTTGCATAGGGTTAACAAACTTCTGGTTTATTATCTGTTGAAACTTATTCCCCTCTGTGCCATCCCACAAAAATAGAGCTTTCTTTTTTTCTACTACTACAAGTAGCACTGCTAAAGCAGGACCTCAAAAAATTTCTTAAAAGCTCAAGTTTAGTTTCTCTCCACGGAAATCTTTAGTAAAAGGCGAAAGATTTATTTGATCTGAAGAGAAACCAGAGTATAAAGGTGCCTACTTTAACTTGTTATACCAGTAACTGCACCTCCTAGTTCACTGATGGTGACTTTTTATCCCTAAGAGTTGGTTACAGTGTAAAGTTATTTATATGAGACATCCTGTAGCTAAACTCATTTTAGAACTGTTGAATTGGAATACACAATTTTTTAATCTAACAGGGTTGGACTATGCTCAAGGTTCTATGGGTATGCAAATGACAACTCTGAATCATTAACTTTCACTTCATGGTCTCCTTCACCCTTCAGCCAGCCAGTCTCCTGGGCCACCGGTAGGGGGCGAAGCAGAGGGCCAGGTGGGCGAGTCCTATCTTCTTGTCCCAGGTCAACAACTGAAACTGCTTTTACCACTGCTGTGTCAGGGTTTTGCGTACAGTTTATGTTTTATTATATTTTAAAAGCTTTCATTTGGAAATAATTGTATACAGGAAATTGTAGTAACAGTACACAGAAATCCCCCCTGGTTCCCCAGCGGGAATGTCACACGGCTAAAGTGGACCCTGGGCTCGGGAGCCCTGTAGACGCTGGTACCATCCATACTTTACTCAGATTTCGCAGGTCGTGCAAGGCCCTCATCTGTGACTGTGCAGAGTTTGTGCAGCTTTATCTCACGTGCAGATTCCGGCCAGCACAGCACAGCAAAGGAGCGGACCTCAAAGAATGGCCTCGCACTGACTCTGAGCCTTCACACCCGCCTTCCGGCCCCCGAGGCCACGGTGTTCTGTGCCCTGTGCACACCTCAGTGTATGCAGACCACATTCAGAAGTCGAGAGCGTTTGTCATGGCGTAACGACCTTGTTTGACCGAGTGATGCTTGTCATCTTTATCTGATATTAGTATGGCCATTCTTTCATATTATTAAAGTGAAAATCTTCCCTCCCCTCCCCGTCCTTGCCTCCCCTTCCCCTCCCTTTCCTGTGTGTTGGGGATTGAGCCCAGGGCCTTTAACGTGCACTTGGTCTATCTCTGAGCTATCCCTTCAAGCCTAGAAGTGAATTTCTTGTTGGATGAGTCATTTTTTCACCATGCACTCGGCCGATCTCTTTTTTTAATGGGTATATTTAATTTGGTTGGGGGTTATTTGGCTTCTGGAATCTGTACTTTTAGGCCTTTTGCCAAAATTGGGATGATTTTTGCCATTATGTCTTTGAATAATTTTTTAGTACCACATATTTTCTCTTTTTCCTCTGGAAAATTGAAGACACGACTGTTGGATCTTTTGCTATTGAACCACAGTTCTCAGAGACTTTATCTTTTGTCCGTTGTCTCTGTCTCATCCAGGCTGTGGAGTTTCTGTGAACGCTGTAGGGCTCAGTCATCCTTCCTGTGTTGTGTACTTCTGTTATTAAGATGACCCAGTGAGCTGTTTTATGTGATTAGCTTTATTGTGTTTGTTGTCCCAGGCCCAGAGGCCACCAGCCAGTTTGCCCTCTTTCTACCTTTGAGCATCTTTGTGTGACCGTTTTATATATATATAACATCCATGGCTTTAGTGGGAGGGATGGGGAGAAGTGTATCTACTGTGTCTTGCTTGAAGCCCAAAATCTACATATTGAAGTATTTTATAGTAGATTTTAGGCACGATAACCAGGAAAAACCCTTTCATTAACACAGTAAGTTTTTGCAGACAAATGGTTGAAGGCGTGGAAAATGGGGAGAGGAGGGTCACTGCGCATGGAAGACGTGATGTGCCTAAAATCCTACTCTCTTCTTTTTCTCTTTTCTCGGCTTCCGGGCACTTTACCTGCCTGAGGTGGTTTACTGTGTTAGTCTGTTTTCTGTTGCTATAAAGATACATGAGACTGAACACTTGGAAAGAGTTCTTTTAGCTCATAGTTTTGTTTTTTTCACTGAGTTTATTGGTACTTTTTAGGTATACAGTACAGTTGCACTCATCGTTGGGAACCTGTACCTTCACATGGTGTATCTTGGTTCTCATTTTTCCCATTCCCCTGCCTTCCCTTCACCCCCTCCATCATAGTTTTGGAGGCTGAAAGTCCAAGACCAGGAAGCTCCATCTGTTTGTCTTCTGGTGAAGGCCCTTGGCTGTATTCCATCATGATGGAGAAATGGAAGGGAAACTGGCTGCATGCGGAAGAGGCCAAGAGTTTGTAACAGCCAGCTCTGCAGGAAGTTCATCGGTCCCGAGAGTACTCTGTCAGTCTCATCAGAAGGGGAGGCCCTCATGGCCTAATCACTTCCCACCAAGGTCACATCTTGACAGTCCCACATCTCTTCTCATAGCCAGACGGAGGACCAGGCTCGAAGGACATGGACCCTGTGAGACTGACTCAGACGCCTCCCAGCTGCAGTGTCGCCCATGCTCAGAGTGTCTTGTGGGTAGCTGGAGCTGCTGACAGCAGAGGGGGAAGATTACACGGTGTGTGGGAGAATCCTTCCACCTGACTCTGGTTGTCTGTTTCCCTGTTCTTTCATCCATACATAGAGTTCAAGGAGAAATGAGAAGTCTGGAGTTATGAAGAATTCTCTGCTACCCTAACTGAGTGGCAAAGATGCTGTTTTCTCTACTTTTATCCCCCTGTCTTTCTTGTAGTGGGGATTGAACTCAGGACCTCGTGCTTGCTGAGCAGGTGCTGTGCTGCTGTGCTACATCCGTAACCCGTGCTTTCTTTCTAGACTGACATTCTGGGTCTCTGTCTGGAATTCCACTTTGTCAGGGCTTCAGAGATGTTGTGTATAAAGGAGTCTTCTTGAATATGTGAAGACTTCCTGAGCTGAATCCAAACTGTCCGAGTGTGAGCGTCTTGTTGGAGGCTGTGGTCCCCAAAGACTGTAGTGCCTTGGTGTTCTGGAGAAGCGATGTTAATGGGGCCTGTGCACTGTTTGTAGCTGGAGGGTCTCATGGGATTGTATGACTTTCCCTCTAGTCATTCCATTGGATTGCGGACTTTGTCATGACCCCGGACTTCTCATCCTTATTTGTTGTTTACGTTCGGTTCTCCTTACATCTTGCGGAAAATTTGGTTAGTGTTTTTTTTTTAATTTGAAAAGTGTAGGGGTAATAGCATAGTAATTGTGCCTTTGACTTCACACTGGGATCCAGTATTTCTCTTTGATTCTGCTGTGGTTTGGATGTGGTTGGAATGTGCTGCCCAAGGGTTCCCGTATTGGACACTCGATCTCCTGTGGCCATTCTAAGAGATTCTGAAACCTTTAAGAAGGGGGCTTGCTAGGTGGTCATAGGGCATCAGAGATGTGTCCTTGCAAGAGAGTGCCTTCTCTCTTGGGACCCCAGAGTCTCTTTGGCTGTCTTTCTCACCATGTGGTCTCTCCCTCTCAATCCTGGCATGATGCTATCCACCAAGAGGCCCTCACCCGACCTGGCACCACGTCCTGGAAACTCCAGGATCATCAGCCACAGAAGCAGAAGTCTCAGGTATTTCATTACAGTAACGGAGAATGGACTGGTATAGATGTTTCTTTGCTGGCTCTAGGAAGAAAGAGAATGTGGAACATATAAAGCAGGCAGACATTCTGTCCCTAATAGACCAAATATACGCTATCCAGAGATTGCTATTTAGAGAAAAAAACACGTTTTATTAGTGAGGGCAATTTATCTTTGAGGAATTTTGGTTGGGAGAGAGTGTTGTCTGTGGAAATTGTGAGCAGTAAAATGACTTAGTTCAAATTACTTTAGCAGTAGCAGAGCAGCTGTTGAAAGAAAAAGAAAGCTCTCTCAATAATTGCTTGATGAATCATTAGCCGGGCTTCATCGAGAGAGCAATGGCTCTTCTGTGTAGAATTCCTACAAAATTAGTCTTCATCTGTGTTTCTTGTCTGGACGTTTATAGAGCATTAAGATGAGTTTGCTGCCTTTGAACATACAGGGAAACATTTATGATTTCAAGAAACTTATAAAGGTTTCCTCTGATTACAGAGGAACTCTCCTCAGTGCAGTTAGGACTTAGATACAGCCTCAAAGTAAATAATAAGGAAATAATGCTATTTAGGAATTAGATACAGTAAGATGTCTAGGGCTTCTGGTGTGTTTTGTTTTTGCCATGTGTTGGATATGAGGGCTCAGAAAACAGTAAACACCCTCAGCTCTCCACTAGTTTTCTCTGTAGGAGGGAAAAAGAGGTACTGTAATGAAAAATACAGACTGATGAGCAGCACAGGTGATTTCCTGTCACATCTTCTAATACATAAATGCACTTGTCACTGTGTTCTGCATAAACACTCTCTTCCTTCTCCAACCAGCTTTTGAATGCACATTGGACTAACACAGCTGGTGTTTTTTTTCCATTTCATTTTCTTCCACTTGACAGACTTTAGAATGAGGTACTTCACCATGAATTATGTTCACAATGCTCTGTTACAGGGCCGAGGCTAGATTCCAGTGAGAAGAAACATTCTCCCATGGGGTGTAATCAAGGGTTCATTGCAGACGACAGAATCCTCTCCAGTCATTTAAAAAACATAGAAAATTACTGCAGGGATTTAAAGATATTTCAAACTAACTAAAGGTCTGCAGGAGCGACAAAAAGTGAGTTTCTGCTGCCTGTTGGACCTTGGGGTCTCTGGCCTGGCTCTGCCTGTTCTTCTAGAACAGTCTCACGATGGTGCATTGTGTTCTTTTGCCTTCAGAGTCACAGTGCCCCGAGTCTTAGTTCATCAGAAGCTACACCTAGTGGGATGTGCTAGCTGCAAGGAATTCTGGTGTGTGTAGTTTCCAATCTTCTAGCCTCTAATAGGAGGAAGTCATGCTAGGGGACCTGGCATAGTCGTGACTGAGCACACCTGTGTCTGCCTTAGAGGGCAGGTGTTTTATTTCAGGGAGAAGGTCAAAATGGCAGCTTTTCTGAAGGAAGATGCCCCCTTCTGTGCACTCTGAGCTCAAACAGCTCAATTGTCTGAAACTTCCTGTACAATGCTTCTGTATGTTTTAGGGTATGCAGCTTGGAAACCCTCGGGTCTGTGTTTCTGGGGCTATCCAAACAGGGTTTGTTGTTTATTTATACATCTACCTAACCAACACGTCCACAGTATGTAATAAGCATCGGCCACCATTCTAAATGTTTTCTGTATTTTCATGTATTCTTATGATTAAATCACGAAATAGATCCTGTTTCAGTAGCACTGCATTTGCCGCTGTCTCTAGACCGAGAGTAGGCCTTGGGTTGGTGAAGGAAATAGACACAGCTCGCAGTCCAGTGGTGAGGCTGGTGAACCACCTGCGAATCAAGCGCTGTGTGAAAGCTCCCGGATGCAGGTGACGGTGGTGCACTGCGGGTTTGTAGGTGAGGGACTCTGGGTCCAGACAGGAGCAAAGGCCTCTGCCCGAGTGCATTTACCTGAGCCTGGACCTGCCATTAATGTGATGTTTGAGCGACAGGTTTCTCCGCACAGTGGGAGCAGAGTGGGAACGGGCCGGGCAGCGCTTCGGATGACTGTTCGCGGGGCTGGTGTGGTTGTACAGTGAGATGAAGAGGAAAGTTTGGGTGAGACATGAATGGGCAGAGGGGCCGATTACAAAGAACTGCAGTGTGTCTCAGAGAAAATGCTTCCTGGAACATCAAGGGGAAACACAGAGAATGTAGCAGGGGTGACACGATCAGACAGAGTCTTAAAGTATTTTGTGCTGCATAGAGGGGACAAATGGGAGGAGGTGGCCTGGCTGTGTAGGGCGTAGACCCCGTGGTCACAGTAGGCCCCGCACAGTGCAGGGGGAACAAGATTTGCAGTGTTTCCTGGAGAACAAGCAAGCACCGTGCTGCTGCTGAGACCTCTGCAGCCTTCACTAGAGTGGCTCCACGTGCAGACGTACACTTGGGACTGAGCTGATCATCCGCACGGGCTCTGCAGGCCGAGCTCTGGGCCTGGGGTAACTGACGTGGTCAGAGGTGACTTTGTCTCCTCTTGGGGTGTTGAGGTAGGAGCTTTGGTGTTTTACTTGGGAGAATATTTAGTCTATTGACCTGACCCCTTTCTCTGTGTATTTGTTCTGGTCAGTTGGGAAATAAGCTTCAGCCTGCGGTTCACACTGGAATTGTCTGGGAATGCAAGGGAAAGCACCCAAGCGGGTCCTAGCCATCCCCTGTGATGAGGATCTGTCCAGGTTTAAGGGCGATGAGAATTCAAGGCCAGTGGGAGGAAAGAGTTACTCAGCGGTGAGACCTCCTCAGCAGGAGTTTCTTCTTTGAGCTCACTGGTTTGGTCACATGGGAAGGGAAGAGAGGGCATCCGCCTTTCTCCTGAGAGGTGTGTACCAGGCCGTGGTGGAGTGAACAACACTTGCACAATAATTCTTCCCTTTCACTTAGGGAATGACTGTTTTTCTGTTTTCGGAAAGGAATTTTAGACACCGCTAGTTCAATCCGTGATTGTACAAAGGGGACTCAGGTCCAGACTCAGGTCCAGATGGACACTCAGAGCCGTGTCCAAGTTTAAACAGGCAGAAGTGTGGTGAAATCAGGCCACTTGAGTTCTCTGCTCCTTTCCCACTGGCCCCCAGTGTGCCCCATTTCCAGGGTTACCTAAAATTGGGCATCAAAAACTGCTGTAAAAGACAAAGTCCATTAATTGAACAAGAACAATAAAAAACTACCTTGAGGATTGTCATAAGGATAGAATGTGGATCACTGATTGTAGTAGAAGAATTAACAGGTCTCTGTCTGCCACACCAGTCAGCATATTCAAACCGCTGTGCCTCCTCTTGCTGTGCGCTCAGCTTTCAGGGTGTTTTGATTTGGGGGCAGAGGAGGGTGGGTGCCTGGGTCTTCCTTCTTAGACTTCAGGTTGTGCGAGGGTGAGGAATTCTTCTATAGCTTCTCACATGCCCGGGGTGGAACACTGCTGTGTACAGTAAAAAGGGCAGCTAAAGACACCAGGCCTACACTCTCCCCTGTGCTGGGGTGGGTGTTTGTTTCCCTAGGAATTGGGGTGACTGCATGAGACCCAGCTCAGAGGTCTTAGTACTGCCTGGCTATGGACCAAAGCCTCAGAATAAATGCTCACTCTGGATAACTGGTTCAGGCCAGTGACTTCTTAAATCAGGGTGCTCAGAGCATCCCATGGTGGTGGTGGCCTGGGCAGTGGTTGCTCTGAGGTTGAAGGTCAGGTATCAGCTCAGAGTGCTTGTCCCTATTGGAGAATGGCATGTCTGTGTGGGCTGAGGATCTTCTGGGGTTATGAAGTGGCACTTGCAGGGAGGTGTAATTGGTGAGGGTTGAGCCATCCTTGCTTTACAAAATGTGGTCCCCAGACCAGCAGCCTCGGATCAGCTGTGTTAGCGATACAGACTCCCAGGCCCACTCCTGTTCCTGGGATCAAAATCTGCATTTTCACGAAATGTGCAAGTGACGTGTGTACCCAGAAGTAGGGGAGGCACTGATCCAGAAGGCTGGGTGTGAGGACTTGCGAGTACAACTTCCATCTCTCCCCATCTATCCCCTTATAGTCCCGAGGAAGAGGCTGCTCACCAAAAACTGTGGGGTCTAGAAAGGAAACGGGAAGGAACGGAAGGGGAAATTGTTCTTGATTTGAGTTTTTTTCTGACTTGAGATATGTGATTGAGCTTCTGCTGTGGAAGCAGTGACTGCATTTCTTACTCAGATTATTAACTGTTGGCCATCTTGTTCTGTTCTTGGCTCAGCTTTCGTCCTGGTCATTTCTTTTAGGTAATTATTGTAAGTCGAGGTGGTAGACACGAGAGATACATCTTTACTTCTTTTAGAGAAATGGTGAAGGACTGTTTGGTGTAACTGTTTTAATAGAATTTACCAGCACCTGATCTAAGTAGTCCCGGGCTTTCTGGTGGAACAGAAACAGTTTTGGTTCTTAACTGGTGTCGTGTCATTTTTCCTCTAGATGATTAAATTTGGAAAAGTGTTGAGACATAGGTAAGATTAGGGTCATGACTCCTAAATGTATTTCTTAATTTTCAAAAATATATTTACAAAGAGAAAATACTGGGGCCTTTTAAATTTTTTTCAGTGCATGGGATGGAGCCACAGGTCAGCGCTGGCCACTGAGCTCTACCCCAAGCCCAGTGGGATCTTCTCAGAAAGGGCTATAAGAAACTTCAACTTTAGCTTTTAGTGTCTTTTTGCTCATATCCCTGTTACCACAGCAACGCTTTACTAGCATAGCTGCATCACGTGACCTTCTAGTGTACTCACTCTTACCAATAGTGAGTCGACCCTCCCCTCATTTGGTAATTCACATGCACAGAAATAGCTCCGGATGGGGACTACGAGCCAGGCTGAGATCCGAGTTCTGTGCCCTGCCCTGGCCATGTGCAGGTGGCCCGTCCTGCACGTCTCAGTGGAAAGAACTTGACCAGATCTGTCCCCTTCAGCAGTGTCAAGGGCTTTATGAGGACTTTTATGTGCACCAAGGTCTTGTGTTATTTGGGCATGCACAGTACTCCATTTCTTTATTTGAGAAAAATGGCGTAAAGTTTTGTTTTTTTCTTTCTTTTAAGCAAGTGGCCAACATAAAAGAATTTTTAGTCTTTGGTGGAGGTTAACCAAGGATGGGAAGCACATAGAATGAGCTGTTAGGGGCAGGTGACATTTCTTGGTGAACACCATGTACCGGGCACTGTCTGAAACTTTTGATCTATGCATTTCTTAGCTCAGAAAGCCCTGTAAGTGCTTTGTCACCTGAGCAAGCAGGGCAGACAGGCTCTGTGCTGCTCTGAGGCTGCCAAAGACTCAGGCCAGCCCAGGTGCAGGCTCCAGGGTTTGCCCCTCGATGTGTGCCTGTGTGTGTCCCTTCTATAAAACAGATGTTTTATATGTGTAGACGGAATCAAATTGCCCCCTCATTCCAGGTGTGAAAAATAAAATAACATTTGCCAACAAGTCCAGCAGAATGGCTCCGAGTGCCCTCTGCAGAGCCCGGCGGGTGCTCCTGTCAGGAGCTGCCGTCTGAGGCTCCTTCCTCCTTTACAGCGTGGCGGGAAGATTTCAGTCCGTTGCAGCTGTGGTCATGGTCGTGTCGTGATGCTGGCTGCCCGGCCGTCACTGCCCACCTGTGGGTAGCCCGTTGCTGTGCTCATTTTCCTCATGTGTGTCTTGGCTGCGTGATCTCCTGGGGCTGCCTGGGGGTGCTGGTCTCCAGGTGCCCTGGAATGCACTCTTGCCTGAGGTTTTCACCTGCCTCAGACAGGGCGTGTGGCACACAGCCGACGTGGAACAGCCGACACAGCTTCCCCAGGGGAGGGGAGGGGAGGTGTACGCTTCCTTTCTTTGCAGGTTCATGCGAAGTTAGCTAATTCCCCTATCCAGTTATTCTGCTGCCTGTAAGCGACAGTGAGATTGAGCGTGACTGGGCTGGGCCAGGTGGCACACACCTGTGATCTCCCCACTCAGGAGGCTGACGTGGGAGGACTGCCATGAGTTTGAGGCCAGCCTGAACTACATAGTGAGACCCCATCTCTCTCTTAAAAAAAGAAAACAATAAATAAAATAAACTAATGAACAACAACAACAAAAGATTTAACACAACTTAGGTAATTAGTGTTTGATTTCCACTTCCTTGCTAAGGAAAACACTTTGGTGTCTCAGCCGGCACAGCCTGGATTCATTCCGAGTTCTAGCTCTGTGACCTTGGGTAAATGGATTGAAATCAAAGGCTTCTGTTTCTCTTGGAGATAATGATAATTTCTGCCTCAGGGCATCACTTTTAGCAGAGCCTGAACTGTGCAGAAAGTGCGAGGATGGGGCTCAGGTGGGATGTCTAGAAGTGGGTAGGTGCTGTCCGTGCAATCAGGGTTCACGCCGCCCTTTCCGGACTTTGTGCTGAGACTCAGGTGAGTGCTGAAATCCCTCCACTAATCCTGACTTGTGTTTGGCCCGTGCAGGACGCGGCGGACTTCGAGTGGAGCTTCTGGATGGCATGGGGGCAGCAGAGGCTGGTGTGGCTGCTGCTTGGCCATGTAGCAGTGTCCCAGATGGCCATGCGGTTTGCGAGGAAGGTACGGCTGTGTGTATCCTTTCCTTTTAAACCTTTCTCCTTTGCTTTTGTGAAGTCCTGAGGAAGAATCAAAAGACAGGAGCTTCTCTCCTTGGGAACCAAGCGTGTTCGTCGTGGTCAGTGTGACATGTAAGATCGGGATGTCTTACATTTTCACCCTGGGTTTACATCTTCTGAGTTTATTTTGAAGCTGTTAAATAGGAGGGTTTGAGGGTGATTCCACTTCAGATGATGTCTCTAAGATCACTCCTGATTAAATGATCTTGTAAAGAGTTGCCCGCCGGGAGGATCTGTGTGATTTCCCTTACAAATTCAGAAGGAAATGACTAACTGCATTAAAATGTGGATAATTTTAATGTCTAGTAATGTATGCTGTCGTGGTGTTTTAGGTCAGAATTCTGTCAGGTTTTGCTCTCACCTTGGCCTGGCGTAGAGAGCGAGGGCTTCTCCAAAGTGAGTATTGGCTAAGTGGTCTTGTAGAGGCAGAAGTGCCACCCTCTCAGCAGGGTTAGCTGCTGAGGGGCCAGAGGTGCCACGCTGTGCTCTGGGGCCGGCTTCTGTCCTCCTCGCATACATGCATCTTGCCCCTGTCAGTTCCCGACAAAGCCGACCTGGAAGCTGGCCTGGGACCGGGCAGATGAAAGTGAAGGACGGGAGAGGCAGGGGCCCCCGGAGGGAGGAAGGAGTTCAGAGCAGGGAGCAGGAGGCCGTGTCAGAGGAGGCACCCAACTTGGCCTGACTTGGGTCCATCCCCCAAATCGGTAATCTGTGGGCTGGCTTCTCATCCTGGAAGATAGTGAGTCTGAACAGCACACTTTCTTTTAAAAATAATATTGATTACTTTTTTGCATTTAAGTAGTTATTTCCATCTTTTAAAACAGCAAAAACTAAAATATTTGATGCTGTCAATCTCTGTGTATTTAACAGTTTTCTGTAACTTTCTGAGCAGACCTAATAAACAATACATTTTTGTTCCTAAGCTAGTAGTGGGTGTACCTACCTCAGCTCTCTCTTTTTTTTGTTCCTTCTACAAAGTTCTATTTAATTTTTTTCAAGATTTAAAAAATTCTAGAAGTTTTTTAAAAAAATTCTAATACAAAGCTTCTTTGCTTATAGGTAAGTAACCAAGTCTCAGGTTTCCTATTGGTGAAGAAACAGTTTCACAAGTTTTCTTGCCTCTTCAAGGGCAGAGGAGACACCCTGCGCTGTGTTAAAAGCCACCAGCTCTGGCTCCGACAACCGGCTGGGGAACAGCTCTCGGGCAGAAGCCTGCTGGGCATTGCAGGGCCATGGTTGGCTTTACAATACTAGAGAAGCTTTCCCATTTCCCTTAACTTATCATCTATAAAAGAGGCTCGATAAGATAGTGTCCATCCTATTTTCCCCATAAAATATGCCAGACTTCGTTTGTTGGAAATTTCACAATAGTAAAAGTGAAATGCAGAAAAACTAGGACAAAGAGAAGGCACAAAAGAGAGCAGAAATAAGTGTGTCAGTGACCATAATCAGTGTAAGTGGATTTGGGAAGAAAGAAAGAAAGAAAATAACTAAATAAAGCTGGGCAAGGTGGCGCAGACCTGCATTTCCAATACTCTGGAAGCTCAGGCAGATGGACGGCAAGTTCCCCTGGGAGATTCTCTCTCAAAGGAAAAAACAGAACAGGGCTGGGGCTGTAGCGCAGCACAAAGACCTCAGGTTCAGTCTCGAGTACCATAAACAAAACATGAAAGTTATGACACCAGACTGTATTTTATGGTGTTTTTTGAGACAGATTCTTGCTGTGTAGCCCAGGCTGGTATTGAACTCATGGTGATCCTCCTGCCTCAGCTTTCCTAGTGCTGGGATTATAGGTGTGTGCCACCATGCCCAGTTTAGACTAGATTTATGAAAACAACAGAAATCAAGTAAAACAAAACAAAACCCAGAGATGTGCTTCTTAAGCTTGATATACTTAAAACAGAAGCAAAGAAGTTTGAAAGTAAAAGATGGGAAAAGATATTCCACAAAATCTAAATTCTTTCTCCTCTCAACAAGAGACTGGTACAGTTTTATTAATAGCTGGCAAAGAGTATTACTAATGGTAAAGAGGGTTATTGTTTAGTAAAGCGTTTGTTACTAGGAAGATAATTACAATTCTAAATTTGTTTGCCTCAAAATATATAAATCAAAAGGTAATTGGTGTAAAAATAAATAGATTAATCAGCGATTATGTGGAAAACATTTAAAAACCAATAGGGAACAATACAAGTATTAAGCTTGATAAAAAGAAAAGTATGTAGAAAAACATTTGTTATTGTTTAGTAAAGCGTTTGTTACTAGGAAGATAATTACAATTCTAAATTTGTTTGCCTCAAAATATATAAATCAAAAGGTAATTGGTGTAAAAATAAATAGATTAATCAGCGATTATGTGGAAAACATTTAAAAACCAATAGGGAACAATACAAGTATTAAGCTTGATAAAAAGAAAAGTATGTAGAAAAACATTTGTGTAAAAATATATATATATAGTTATACATAAGTTGTTGCATTCAACAACTGCAAATCTTTTTAAGAACACAAAGTGACTCAAACTGGACCACAAAGGAGTTCTCAAAGTGTTTTATGTAGATTATCTTCTATGAGCATAATGTAAATAGGATAACCTGAAAATTGTAATTCATCTAGAAATTAAAAAAGAAACACACTTTTCATTATTTAAATTTTTCCTTAGTACTGCCATGTTTGCAGTGCCTAAAGGTTACGTCGCCGTGGGGAGTGGGTACTTGGGACATGACACATCCTGATTCTTCCTCCATAATTTTAGTCCCCTACCCCTCCTCCCTCCCTGCTCCTTCCAACTCTTAGTTCCATTCCTATTTGCAAAGCTGTATTTTCACCCTTTTGATACCTTTTTTCCATTCCCCTTCCCTCCTCTTCTGTTCCCTCACCCATCTGAAAATCATCTCCTTACTTCTTATTTATCTGTCTTCTATTTTGCGCTCTCTCTTTCTGCCTCTCTCTCCCCCATTTGAGTTTCTCACATAAGAGAAACCCTGAAATATTTAAGCTCATGCATTGGACTTATTTCACTTAATATTATGGTCTCAAGTTGCATCCACTTATGCACAAATGCCGCAGATTCATCCCTTCTTCACGGCAGAGTGGTGCTGCACTGTGAGTAAATACCGCCTTTTATCCACTCATCTCTTGGTGGACATATAAGCTGCCTTCAAGATTTAGTTATCATTGTGCCGCTGTACGCATGGATATGCACGTATCCCTGTAACGCAATGTCATTGAACTCTTCTGGGCAGACACCTAGAAGCGGAAAGATTGTGTCAAATGGAATTTCTACTTCTGATTTTTTGAAGACTCTCCACACGGAGTTCCAGAGTGGCTGTGCTAGTTTACGTTCCCACCAACGGTATAGAAGAGTTCCTTTTCCCCCACGCTCCCCTGCCAGCATTTGTTAGTATCTGTTGATGATCGCATTCTTCCTGGAGTACGGTAGTATTTCAGTGTTATTCTAATTTGCATTTTTCTAATGGCCAGCGATGCTGAACGTGTGTTCATGTGTTTATTGGCTATGTGTGCCTTTTCTTCTGAGAAGAGTGTTCATTTCAGTTGTGTTCATTTTTTGATTAGGTCTTTTATTTGGGGAGTCTGATGTTGTTTGAGTTCTTTATATATTCTAGATGTTAGTCCTCTGTCTAAGGAATCGCTGGAAAAAATTTCCTCATTCTCTAGGCTGTCTCTTCACTCTGCTGGTTGTTTCCTTTGCTGTGGAGAAACTTTAATTAATTATTATTATTATTATTTTTGTTTTGTTTTGTTTTTTTGAGACAGGGTCTCACTATGTAGTTGAGACTAACCTGGAACTCAGTATGTAGCCCCCGCCAGTCTCAAACTCAGCGATCCTCCTGCCTCAGCTTCCTGAGTGCTGGGATAACAGGCATGTGCCACCATGCCCGGCCGAGAAACTTTAATTTAATATGATCCCATTTGTTGATTCTTGCTGTTATTTCTTGTGCCATTGGAATTCTTTTCAGCAAATCTTTGCCTCTACCTGTGTCTTCAAGGGATTTACCTGCTTTATCTTCCAGACGATAAGGAAACATACTTTTAAGTAACTCATAGGTCAAATAAAACTTACTAGAAGTTAGAAAATATTTATAAACGAATAGAAAAAATTAGATATAAATATTTGAAGGATGAGGTTAGATTGCTACTTAATTGGATATAACCATCTACATTCAGATTAAAGAAAAAATGATACAATTGATAAGTTAAACTGGCAAAGAAGTTCAGGGGAAGCACAGCAAAAAAGGAAGGAAGGAAAAGAAGAGCAGAAATTAATGAGAGTCAATAGCAAGGTTGAGCAAGAAAAAAAAGGGAAGGCACAGATAACCAAAGGAAAGGTAGAGAAGCCGAGATGTGGATGGTACAGAAACGAAAAATAAATAGGAGGATATTTTACATAGCATGTGGTTATAATTTTGAAAACTTTGTCACAGTAGACAAATTTCAAGAAAATATAACTAAACACTCTGACTCATGAATAGAAAGATTAACTAGTCCTGTGCCAGTGAAAATAAATCAGTAATTAAAATGTATTTGTTAAAACCCCACTAATTTAATAAACCAATTCTGTCATGTCCAAAGTGCAAATCTTTTGATTTTTTTTTCCTAAGGCTTTTTCAGAAAAGACAGTGGTGTAATTGTAGCATAAAATTGATATCAACATTGGAGGATATGCTCTACCAGATATTATAAATACATAGTACATTATAATTATGTACTTATACATAGTTATTGTAAATACATAACAATTAGGAATAATTTGGTAGTAGAATAGACTGGAATAGAAGAGAATGTAACAAATGACTTCGTGTAGATGGACGTTTGACTTACGACAGAGCTGACATTTCCTGTCTGGGTGGACAAGATAAATATGTAATAAACAGTGCCTATAGAGTTAACCAATATTAAAATAAATGAATGCTTCATACTATCTGTTCT